TTAGAATTCAGTGTGCTAGAGGAATTCACAGCTGTGGAAACAGATTCGTCTCACCCAAATTTGGCTGGAGGCTAGGAGTTAGGGTCGATTTCAAGAATCACTGATATGTGGGTGGAACCACAAAGAGTAACTCGGGTCAGCTAAGCTGGGAAGGGAATGGGAAAGCTTTTCTGGCAAAGGGATGAGCTGGTGCAAAGGGATGAAGCTTAGGGAAAAGGCTTGCTTGGGCAATCTTCACCAGTTGTGTGTGGCCTGGAGATTTGAGTGTTTTTTTAAGGAGAGGCTGGAAGGATAAAAGATCTTGTCTTTACTAGGTAAATGGTTCAGACTTGATCCTGAAGCTTGAAGTAGCCTTCAGAGGATTTTAGGCAGGAAAGGGATGGGGTCAGATTGATATTTTAAAATAAGTATTTCGACTGCTGTGTGAGAAACAGAGTAAAACAGTATAAGACTTTAGAGCAGCGGTTCTCAACCTGTGGGTCGCGACCCCTTTGGGTGTTGAATGACCCTTTCACAGGGGTCGCCTAAGACCATTGGAAAACACATATATAATTACATATTGTTTTTGTGATTAATCACTATGCTTTAATTATGTTCCATTTGTAACAATGAAAATACATCCTGCATATCAGATATTTACATTACGATTCATAACAGTAGCAAAATTACAGTTATGGAGTAGCAACGAAAATAAGTTTATGGTTGGGAGTCACCACAACATGAGGAACTGTATTAAAGGGTCGCGGCATTAGGAAGGTTGAGAACCACTGCTTTAGAGAGATTGTTTATAGGATTGTTCCAGTAATTCAGGCCGGAGACATTATGCTGGCAGGGGCAGTTTGAGGGGAGAATATTAATTCAAGAAACATGAAGGAAGCAGAAGCAAAAGGTGCTGGTGACACTTTGTTGTAAGGCATTAAGGTTGATTCCAAGTTCAGAGACTGATTACCAGATCCCACTTTTGGAACATAGCACAATCCTTCACCCAGACACCTTAAAGATGTTAGCTGTTTCCACTTTTCATTTCCCCTCATAGTATCACTTCTTCATAGTGTCAAGAAGCCCAAATGATTAGAATAAATATATTTTAATAGGCAATCTGATTTCAAAGGCAAAACAACATTTAACAACTTGTGAGATAACTCATTTCACAAATTTGCCTGATCTTACTGAAACATGGGGTTCAGGGTACAGACTTCTTCTCATGGGTTCTTGTCCCACAAAGATGAAGAATAAATTTGTGGACTAACAGATTTCTTTAATAAAAATGTAGAAGTTTATTGGAAGCATATACAAATTCCATCTGGGCAGATCTCCTGGGGAGAGACCCCCAAATGGGAAATGCCTGCGTGCTCTCTCTCTCTCTCTAATGGGCAAAATAAAATAAAAAATCCTGCCTCGTGTCCCTTTGTCTCCGGTTTATACATGCTGTAGTTCTTTGTTTGAACCTGACACTTTCTAATTGGAACTTTCATTAATTTAGAGCCCCCAAGCTCTCCTCATTGGTTATTTTGTTAAATAGTATCAGTTTCAAAGGCCAAAACCCATGTAGTACCCCGTTTCTCTCTCCCCCCCTTACCTTATAACATTTCTCTATCTCCTGTGAAAATCTGTTTTCCTCTTTCTGCCATTTGTTGGCATTTCTCTATCCTCTGTGAAAGTTTGTTTCCTTTTTCCTCATACAGTAGGTCATCGGGTTACATGGGAGATCCATTCCTACGGCGCGATGTAACGCAATTTTTGCCCTAAGTCAGAACCCACCTACATAAGCACCTACGTCACTCACATGGAGCACATACAGAGCAGTAATGAAGTGAAACAGTAAAAAAAATTTAAAAGATAACAATTCCTGACGTTTACGTGTGGTAAATAAATAATAAAAAACATAAAGCACATATGTACATACGTCGAAATGACAGAACTTTTTTTATATATAAATAAATGGGAGATAGCAACGTAACCACGAAACAAGGTACGTCGAGTCCAACGTAACCTGAGGACTGTCTGTACTTTGTGGCTTTTCCTTATCTTCTATGAATGTATGTCTTCCTCTCCCCTTATCCTGTGGCACCTTTTTTAGTCTCTAAATGTATGCCTTCTGGTGGCTCCAAAGCCTCACCTATGCATTCCTCCCCCATGAACCCTTTTTATTTCTAAAATTCCCTAAACCTGCTTATTTTATCCCTAAAACTCCTTTTATTACTTTACAAAAAAGCCAGTTTCCTTCCCAGTTCCCCTCCCTTCCCCCACACTAGTACTCACAGTTTATAAGTCTGTCGGAGGACACCCAGGAACAAGATGAAGAAAAGGCTTGCATTATCAATGAAATAGTCAAATTTCAGTGAAGAGCCAAAGTTGGTCAGATATTGGATTAAAAGAAAACTAGCAGCCCAGTGCATGACATTCATGCACTGAGAGGGGTCTCTCAGCCCAGCCTGCGCCCTCTCCCAGTTGGACATCCCCCAAGGGGTTCTTAGCACTGCTGTGGAGGCTACCCCCACCACTGCTGCACTCGCCAGTCGTGAGCCTGGCTTCTGGATGAGTGGCACTCCCCCTGTGGGAGTGCACTGACCACCAGGGGGCAGCTCCCACATTGAGTGTCTGCCCCCTGGTGATCAGTGCGCATCATAGCGACCAGTCATTCCACCTTTCAGACAATTTGCATATTGGGATTTTATTATATAGGACTAGAGGCCCAGTGCACGAAATTCGTGTGGGGGTGTGTGTCCCTCAGCCCAGCCTGTACCCTCTCCAATCTGGACCCCTCGAGGGATGTCCGACTGCCTGTTTAGGCCCGATCCCAGCAGGATTGGACATCCCTCTCACAATCCAGGACTGCTGGCTCCCAACTGCTCACCTGCCTGCCTGCCTGATTGTCCCTAACAGCTTATGCCTGCCAGCCTGATCGACACCTAACTGCTCCCCTGCTGGCCCGATTGCCCCTAACTGCCCTCCCCTGCCAACCTGGTCGCTCCTAACTGCCCTCCCCTGCTGGCCTGGTCACCCCCAACTGCCCTCCCCTGAAGGGCTGGTTGCCCCCAACTGCTCTCCCCTGCAGGCCTGGTCCCTCCCAACTGTCCTCCCCTGCTGGCCTGGTCCCCCCCCCACTGTCCTCTCCTGTAGGCCTGATCCCCCCTAACTGCCCTCCCCTGCTGGCCTGATTGCCCACAACTGCTTTCCCCTGCTGGCCATCTTTGACCACAAGGGGGCGGCCATCTTGTGTGTTGGAGTGATGGTCAATTTGCATATTACCTGCCTATTAGATAGGATGATCTTTTGTTTCATACTGTTTGCATTTGAAATTGCATCAATTTTTTTCTAGTGATCTTCATTAGATAATTTTTGTCTTTAATGAAAGGTGCTTGCAAAAGCATTTCTCCTTTATTTGGGGAAAACCACGTCCCTGCCTGTGGCTATGGTCTGAGCTTCATAGAATTCCAAGGCCAGAGAGTAGCCGACCTTAAACAGTGGCTCCTTGAACTCATAGAAACAGAATAGAATGGTCTTTAATAGGAGCTGAGGGATGGAGGAGATGAGGAGATGGTGGCCAAAGGGTACAAAATTCCCGTTACAAGGTGAATAAGTTCTGAGAATTGTACAGCCTGGTGATTATAGTTAACAATATTGTATTGTATAATTGAAAGTTGCTAAGAGAGTAGACCTTAAATGTTTTTATACTCACCCCACCGCCCCCTGGTTCAAATGGTAACTATGAAGTGATAGATGTGGTAACTATTCTCTTCATAATTTGGTAATATCTATATTATAAAAGCCTAAGCAACCTTTAGGACGCCAACGACCGGTCAACCAGTTGCTATGACATGCTCTGACCACCAGGGGGCAGACACTCAATGCAAGAGCTGCCCCCTGGTAGTCAGTGTGCTCCCACAGCCAACCTCCCGCGGCCTACCAACATCCTCTGGTCCCTCCCCCAGCTGGCCAACCTCCTGTGGACTTTCCCCCTGGCCAGCCCCAGCTGCAGTCCCTCCCCCTCAGCTGGCCTACCCCCTGCCGTCCAACCTCCCGCAGCCCCTCCCTCCCTGGCCGGCCTGGTCCTGCCCCCGATGGGCCCTGATCACTGGCCAGGCCGAGGGGCCCTACCCATTCACCAATTTATGCACTGGGCCGCTAGTATCTATATATATAAAACCCTAATATGCGAATAGACCGAATGGTGGAACAACCGGTTGCACTGACCACCAGGGGGCATGCATGGAACATAGCGGGTGTCGGCCGCGGCCGGATGGTGGAGCAGGTGAGTGGGGGCACCAGACCAAGGTGGGGCACTGGTTGCTGAAATTGGGGCGAGCCTCTGGTGGTTACTGAAAATTCTTTGCTCCCGTGCGCCATAGTCCCATCCGGTGCTCACACCTGCTGCAGATGCTGGCCCTGCTCGTCCTTCAGGGCTTCTCCACCTCCCCCTGCTCCTGAGGGGCGATCAGGGCCGGCAGCCGCCTCTCATACCCACTGCTGGTGCCAGAGCCACCACTCGCACTTACTGCCGGTGCCGGCCCCACTCACACCCACAGCTGGCACTTGCACCTGCTGACGGTGCCAGCCCCAGTTACTCCGCACCATCAACGGGTGCGAGTGGGGCCTGCGCTGTCAGTGCATGGGAGCAGTGGTGGCGGGAGTGGGGCTGCCGACAGACAGGGGACCAGGGGCTGCGGTGGGAGGGGCCAGGCGGGGTGTGGAGGATGGGCCGAGACCCGCCCCTGTGCCCACCGCAGCCTTGAGGCCACAGTTCCTTTCAAGGTGCATGAATTCATGCACTGGGCCTCTAGTGTGTGTGTGTGATTGAGTTGTGTGTGTGTGTGTATATATATATATATATATCATTGAGTTGTGTCTCTTAAACTTATACAATATTATGTGTCAGTTATATCTCTATGAAGCTGGAGAAAACATTTAAATAAATGAATATATATTTTTAAAGTAACTCTTTACTAAATTTAGCATGTGACATCTTTCCAAAATATTGTTTTACCCTTTCTTTTCAGGATGAGCAGAAGCTCCAGGACAGTTTAAGGCAAGGGGCCACAATAATTGCCACACTCATCAAAGAGAGAAATTCTGCATTCATTGGTCAGCTACTGATAGCATGAAGGACACAGAGAAAATTGCCTACTGAGTTTAAAGAAATGTTTATCTAAGTTCCTCTGTCCTGCTTCCCCTCCCTGTTGTGTGTGGTAGCATATTTAAGTTGTCTTTTATGTCTCATAATTTGTAGGATATGATACTTGGGTTATACAAGTGGATTAATGTTTTATATTTGTGAAATAAAAATTTACTTTCATGCATGTCATATTTAAATTGCCCAAACAGAAAAGGATAGGTAAGTGGAAAATAATAGCCTTCATATAATCTTTTTACAAAAGCATGAAAGATCAATAGAAACAATCAAGTGTGAGCTAATCCTCCAAGGAATGAGAACTTAGAAATCTTGAACTATTCTCTCTGTGTTAATTAGTAAATCACACTGTAATGAAACTAATAGATAAGGTTCAGAATTATATTTCTTTACTTTAAAATTTTCCTCTCATCATTAGATATTGACTTGTGTTCTAATTTTCCATGCCTTAAAAAACAAAACATAAAAACAAATAGAAAACAACAATAAGAAATTGTAGGGATTCTTTAAATATATTCACTATTGGCCCTCAACATTACTCATGATTCCTAAATGAGATGTTATATACTCCATAGATTACATAATTTTTACTCATTTTAAAAGGTCTCTGATCTTTCTGAATGCATTTAAGAGAAGACTGGAAAACTTCATAAAAGAGAAGTTATTTTAGTGAAGCCCAAGTTAGTCTTCAAAAAGACAGGGAGCCATTGCAAGAATTTAATTATTCTTTTGATACAGATACTATTTTTTAAGTCAAGTTTCTATTCTTTCAAATTTCCACTGGTATGTACATCTTAAATACTGATGATTTCCCCTATATTAATTACATTGTATAATTATGTGCATGCAGTCATTAGAGATGCCTTTTACTCCATATTTACACTGACTTTCTTACTTTTATTTTTTAAATATATTTTTTATTGATTTTAGAGAGGAGGGGAGAAGGAGAGAGAGATAGAAACATCAATGATGAGAAAGAAGCATGATCAGCTGCACCTGCATGCCCCCTACTGAGGATCGAGACTGCAACCCAGGCATGTGCCCTGACCGGGAATAGAACTGTGAGCTCCTGGTCGATGCTCAACCATTGGGCCACTAGGCTGGGACTGGCTACATTGACTTTCTAAGAATAAAATAGATCAGATTATTCAAGGGCTTAGGCTGCACATGGAAACTATAAAAGTTGCATGAGATGTTTTCTATAACATATCTACCTAGTGGAATTTCTTCTTAGCGTGTTGGATGAGTTTTCCTGTATTTCTCAAGTATCTCTCTTAGTAGGAGAGTGTATGTGTTACATTTAAGTGATAGTCGGTAGAAAACAATGGACATGGAGAAAATATTACAGTTCATTCCCCTACATAAAAGGCATTGTTTCAATGTAGTTTGGATCTGAGTTCCTGGGCTTGCTACTTTCTCTCTCGGGATGTTAAGAAATATAAAATAAATCATTTAATTCAAATCTTGAGGGTGAACATCTATGGGGAATGTGTGAATTTTGGTTAGGATGTCTATGTTAAGGTGGTGAACTAGCGGTGTTGTGGAAGGCTCACCCCTTCTGAAGCCTGTCGAAGTCTTCAAGTGAAAATGTTTTTAAGAATTTGAAATTGCTTATACAGGCCAATGGGGAAATGTTACCAAGATTTAAAAGAAAGGGTGAGTGTTTTAAAGTGTAGCCTGATAATGGAATGTTATACCAGACAAGACTTTATCTGGGAGTAAGCAGTATGACTTTATCCTAAGGTAATAGGAAGCAGTTAGTATATTGAGGTTTGGTTAATAAAATATGAAATTGTGTCTAAACTAATCACTACCATCATCATCATCAAATTTTATTTTTCTTTATAGCTTACAAGTGATTCACAACATTGAAAATCACTTAAAGAAATCCCCCCACATCTTTCACTGCTCAGATGGGAAGTTACGCGCAGGGGTCTCAACTACCTTGCCCAGAGCCACGTGGCTGCCCAGTAACGAAAGGCAGGGCTTAGACTCAGGACCACGGGAGATGTTTTAAGCGCATCTCCCTGTATAACCACAATTGCCGCAGAGGGCACCTCGCAGAGAGGCTGTGGGGAACAAGCCAGAGGCTCCACGGGAGCCCCGGAAGAATGGACAAGGAGGGTCAGTCTGCCCAGTGACCAGAGGAAAGTCCCGAAGGGCTTGGCTTTCCAGCCATCTTTCCAACATACAACCTTGTAGCCAAGGATGAAGGGAGTGAGAGAATGAATGACCAGGAGAGAAAGGTTAATGAGTTGTTTCTATTGTTTAGGAGACCCCGAGGCCACTTCACAGTTACATTTTCATCCCAGCTTCTGTAAACCTAATTACTTTCATGAGAACTGTGTTTTCACTTTATTTTCCAAAATCCCTTAAAACTGAGAGTCGTTATGCCTCAAAGTTGCTGAAATTGCTTTCTAACTGTGGACAATTTTGCAAAAAGACTCTCTCCCCACCCACCTAAATGTATGCTAATTAATACATGCAATTTAAAGAAAGCCTTTTTAGGAATTTAACAGTGTCACCACTGTTTAGATTAATGACGTATTGGTAAGAAGTAGTAGTTGTGTGTTGTTGTTGTTTTTTATTAAAGTGCTCAATTTGAGAGATAACTTGTTGCATATATACTCATTTACAGATAAAATCCAGACCTGCATATTCTATCCAGACCCATATTCTATCCATTCTTTCTGTGGTCAGTTTAAGCATTTTGCATTTGTTTACAGGAAACCTTTCTTTTCTCATGCTAGTTTATTAAAAGCAAATTTTACTTTATATATATTAACACAATGCTTATGTTATAAAAATCAAGTTGCAGTAGAATATTTTTATAAAATCTGCAAATTTTACTTCCTTTTAATGTTTAAACTAATTACGTCAAGGAAGCATCAAAATGTTTATATTAAAATGTAAAGAAAGTCATTTGGAAGAAGGATAATTGGAGATACTTTAAAAGATTAATTAAAAATAAACAGAATAAATGAAAATACATATCCTTTTAGTATTTATTAGAATGGTTTAAAATAAGTGGACTAGAAGTGGTCGTGTTGGTGGTTTTGATATTGTAACATTTATATATGTTCTTACACATTTTTAGTTTTTAGTTTCAAAATTGAGAAAACTATGGGTATTTTTAAAATGAAAAGTACCAAACTACTATTAAAGATTCTCAATATATTCTCTTTACCAAATAACATAGGTAATTAATAAATAACTAAATAAACCACTGATATTTTAAAATCAAATGGCAATTTTCATTGATATTTATTGTATATATGCACATTTTCATACTAACTTAGTCACAATTTAATAACAATATAACATTTATTCTGAAAATATAACAATGTGATGTTTTCTTTGGTATAAAGATAGAATTTGGTATCCAGATCTATTAGCCTATAAAAACATTAAATATTTGCAAAACCAGAAGTCTCAACTAGATTTTTTCTCCCCTCATATTTAGCAGCTTTCCTGCAATATTGGGGCTGCTAAGGATTTAAAACCTGTACTCAAACACAATGGAAAATAATACTGTGATCACTTCTTAACAATATCGACATGAGTGTGCTGGGTTGAATTATTGTTCAGAAATATTCCTTCTCTCCACTTAGCTATCATGGGAGGAATATAATTCTATTTCTTGACTTTGGGGCTCATCATGTGACCTCTTTCACCAATAGAGTGAGTCAAAATGACAGTGCACCCTTGATAGATCTGGATATCAAATCTAGACTAGAGGTGAGAGACTATTATGTTGCTGCTTGTTCTCTCCCACTTCTGCCACCACCAGGAGATGAACTGACAAATGGATAAACAAGCCCAGCTGTTTAGTTGACTTCCAACAGACAGGTGAGTTCTATAAATGCTCATTGTTTTTTTTAATAATAACAAGTTTTGCCCTAGCCAGTTTGGCTTAGTGGATAGAACGTCGGCCAGTGGACTGAGGGTCCCGGGTTCAATTCCGGTCAAGGGCACATGCCCAGGTTGTAGGCTCAATTCCCAGTAAGTGGCATGCAGGAGGCGGCCAATCAGATTCTCTCTCATCATTGATGTTTATCTCTCTCTCTCTCTCTCTCTCTCTCTCTGTCTCCTTCCTCTCTGAAATCAATAAAAATATATTTAAAAAATAATAATGAGTTTTGAATCTTTTGTATTGCACACCAGTTGGTAAGCAAGTGTGGCAGTGTTTGGTATATTTGCCCTCACAAGTCTAGGATGTAAAGCAAAATGCTTCTAAGGAGAAATGTTGGTCAGGGCAATGATGCTAAAGTGCTAGAAGGTTCTATTTTTCCCCTTTAATAGCAAGAGAGAGAAAACGGTTTCTATACTCTCAGTGTTTCTCTTCCTTTCCTTGCCCATCACCACCCACAACACACAAACATTTTGGAACATCCTTGGATCTGCATGTGCCAAGAAAACCTTCAAAGACTGATGCCCACATACAAGTATTACCAATACCATCTCCGTGAGCTCTATAGTTGTGGGGATTTCCTCAGGCAATGTATGATCAGACACTTGGATAATGAAAGTGTAAGAAGAAATAGACAAATCGCAGTTGCATATAGCCATTTGTGCCTCAGCAACACAGAAAGACATGCAAAGTGAAGTTCAACTCCATCACCATCTTTATGATAGAAAGAAAGGTCTAGAGTGGCGGTTCTCAACCTGTGGGTCGCAACCCTTTGGGGGTTGAACGACCCTTTCACAGGGGTCGCCTAAGACCATCAGAAAACACATATATAATTACATATTGTTTTTGTGATTAATCACTATGCTTTAATTATGTTCAATTTGTAACAATGAAATTGGGGGTCACCACAACGTGAGGAACTGTATTAAAGGGTCACAGCATTAGGAAGGTTGAGAACCACTGGTCTGGAAGATGTTCAGGCATGAAGTGTGAAGTCTTCCCTTGCCTTGAGACTTCCCTCAGCACATATGTTCACAATGCTTCCTCAGTGGGAAAACTTTGGGGTGAATGGTACTCGGTATGAGTTTGACCTGACTGGAGCCAGATTGTTTTTCTGTTCCCATCTGAAATATTGGAATCTTTGATTTTTAAAAATGTCTTCACAGCTGAAATGCATTATGCAAATGTATTCTCTACTTAGTGAGGATGCTACCAAATAATCTGAACAGTTGTTAAAACATCTGGGGCTGTTTAGCAGCATGGATAAACCCTGGCTTGTCTAGTGCAAAATTTTCTTTTCTTCCAGTTTAACCTTAATTAATCCTAGCATCGTCTCTGTGAGGTAGGTCTTTATGAACCTTGTGATACGATGATTGAAAAATGGCAGATGCAGAGAGCAAGGGCTCATGATCACCCAGACCAGAATTTCTGCCTCTATTTTGGACAGTTTTTCAGAGAATTAGATTACAATGAGGAGGGACTGTTCTTAAGTTTCTTTTTTTAAAAAAATCTGATTTAAAACTACATCCAGAATTTTACCTGGATGCATTCCATCATTTTCCATTTTGCAAAATTGCAGTGAAGCCCAGAGGCAAAAGCTTAACAAGGCAATCCTACTGATCCTTTTGACCCAAGTGGAGACATGATTTGAGATTCCACATGGAGGCCAATTTTTAAAGAATTTCCCCTAGTCTGTAGACTGTAATAATTGGGTTATTTGGATAAGGTTTGGCAAAGCATCTAGTAGATTAACTGAATGATGTTTCTGGAACATTGCCATTTTGGAGCTATCCATTTTGTCTTTGTTCCCCCTCATTATAAAATGGACTAGTGAAATTGGTTGGTTTGTAGGTACGTCAGGTTTTTCTTATTTCCCATTCTTTACATCTGAGCCCTTAATTTGGTTGAAAGCAAGCTCTTCAGTCTAAGTGGATAACAAAACATCCCTTTGAGGAGGAGGAAATAGGTGATAAAATCTGTATGTTACTAATTTTTTTTTCAATAGTTTGGAGGAATTTCTTTCTCATCCTGTGTGTGTTTTTAAGACCCTGTTAAGTTCATAGTTCCTTTTTGCTTTCCTTGTTTGAATAGAAAATAATTCTCCTTAATCTCCCCCTGAGTTTTTAAACTATTATTGAACTGCCCAGTTCAGGAATTCAGTTGCCTGTTTTACTGAATGGAGGTATGTATGACCTGATAGTAAAAGAATGCTATTCAAAGACATTTCCGCCTGTTTGTGTCTTGGATCAGTTACTGTTCACATGAATTTGGAAAGAAGCCAAAATATGTAAACAAATTAGGAGTTTTGAGAATCCCAGTGGGAATATCCACAAGTTCCACTATAAATCAGGAACTTCAGATAAGTGCAAGATGCTTTAATAAGATAGCAAGGAGAAGGAACTATAGACCAAATATTCTTGGCTCTGGTTTGGGAATCTTAATGGATATTAAAAGATTTGGGTTAATTATGGGGTTATACATAAAACTACTTTTTCCCAAACCTCTATATTGGTGGTTCTCAACCTTGGCTGCACAGTAGAATCACCTGGGAA